ATATTTGTATACTTTTTTTTGGCTTGAATTCTGGTAGCTTGCACCAACAAAGCCCTATTGGTTGTTTACAGGGGCACCCCATTTGATTGTTAAACACTTACTGGTCCATGTCTTCACTAATTGTGAACTATGTTGAATACCACCCCTTTGCAAACATCATCACATCAATATTTCTTGGGTTCAAGTACCTCCTGATGTCACGCATTCTTCCAGCAGACTTTTGCTCAAGTTCAGTATAATTATCCTTTGGCATGCACTTTGCACCTACCTCCTTTATTCTATTATTTTAATTGCATTAAAATATTCTGTTCTTAAAAATACAAAACACATACTCAACACCCACTCACTGTTCAGGCCATATGATTTGATGCTGACTTGATTTTGTCTCTCTAGTTAAGCTCTTTAGCTTCATTTTTTTCACTAGCAAGGTAATGTGATAAATTTCTATTCCAAAATACATAATATTTTCAGTCTTCTCTTCTTGGACTTTTATGTGACAATGTAAACCAAATCTGATAAATACTCACTTACTGGCCTTGAATATTTCAAATGGTGCTAGAAGGCAACTTATTGACCAGTGTGCTTCAGCTCACTGGGAAGGACTTGTAAAATAGATCAGAGATGCCTGGGTCATGTATATAAGCTTTGGCTCAAGTCTATCTGCTGAATTTCTGCCATGGACATGCAATAGATTGCCTGTCAGTGTGCCAGGATCAGAAACAATTTTAAGGAAAATTTCTGCCTTTGGAGGTGGCTCTGTTTGGAAGATAAAATGAATACCACACAAAAGAGACACATTAATAAACATTTATTGAACTGTATTAAATTTAATTGAAATTAATTGAATTTGGACGGTAGCTACAATTGCAATTTCTCCCATTGCTTGGCTGACTTCCAGGTTTGGTTTAGAACTCAGGTTGGGCAAGGACTAGAAAACTGGAAAATCCTCAATGTCAGTTTCAAAGTTGAATTAATTTACAGTAGAGAAAAAGTATTAGGTAATATTGCTGATTTAAATATCACAATATTTTTGAAAAGACAATAATTTCAACTAAATAAGCCAGGTTCTTCTTCAAGTGAATAAGCTCACTGTTCTACCCTTTACTCTGGGTATTTTTCAGCTTCCTTACAGTTGAACTGACTCTTCAATCTAGAACTATTAGGATTTCTCTTGGATGTCATTTAAAATACAGAAGTTATCTACTATGTCACACTTTTCAGTATTATAAGCGCCTGTATTCTCACCTCCATACTGAATAAATCACCAAGAGTTATAGATCCTACCTCTTATATCTGTATGGGTTATTTTCAACCTTTGTAGAACCAATGTTTCCTTTCTAAAACAAGTATTTTATACAGCCTCCTCTTTATATAAAGCACACCTTCATAGACACTTAAAAATATATACTATATTTGTCCTAAGTACTTTGACAGGGGTTGCATTGGATCTGTAGATTGTTTTCAGCAGTGTGGCCATTTTGATAATGTTGATTCTTCCAATCCAAGAGCACAAGATATCTTTCCATTTCTTTGTATCATATTCAATTTCCTCCATCAATGTTTTACAGTTTTCAGAGTATAGATATCCTCCTTGGTTAAGTTTATTTCTAGGTATTTTGTTGTTTTTCATGCAATGGAAATGTTTATGCCAGTTATAAAATTCTGGTTTTTGAAGAAAAAAAGTGAATGAAGGG